AGGGACCTTGAAGGTCATCTAGTCCAACCCCCTGCTCAGGCAGGAAACCCTATACCATTTCGGACAAATGGCTGTCCAGTCTCTTCTTAAAAACTTCCAGTGTTGGAGCATTCACCGCTTCTGGAGGCAGGTTGTTCCACTGGTTAATTGTTCTCACTGTCAGGAAGTTTCTCCTTAGTTCTAGATTGCTTCTCTCTTTAGTTAGTTTCCACCCATTGCTCCTTGTCCTGCCTTCAGGTGCTTTGGAGAATAGCTTGACTCCCTCTTCTTTGTGGCAGCCCCTGAGATATTGGAACACTGCTATCATGTCCCCCCCCCCCCGTCCTTCTCTTCATTAAACTAGACATACACAATTCCAGCAGCCGTTCCTTATATACTTTAGCCTCCAGTCCCCTAATCATCTTTGTTGCTCTTCTCTGTACTCTTTCTAAAGTCTCAACATCTTTTTTACATCGCGGTGACCATGGATGGATGTGGAGGCTGCTAATGGCAGACAGAGAATATCCAAGATGCTGCCTTATTTTCCTTGGGACTTTATTGTTGTATTTACAAGATATTAGTAAGATTTTAAAAGGGCAATTCTAATTATCCAGGAAAAATGCCAATGTCTTGGTGCTCCTACTTACCAGAAAGAAGAAACTAGAGCTGGCAAGCCAGAAATGCCTTCCTCCATGGCTATAAATATTAAAATCTTCTGCTGAGAGTTGGGCATCAGGATAACGGATTTCCAGAGTTCCCTGAAAATTGATAGGGAGCAATGAGAAAGGACATACTGTAAATATTTACAGAAATTCTTCTATTTTCATTCTGAAGTGCTTGAGGAAGAGGCATCAATGAAAAGCTAGTGCTTTGCATCACACCATCTCTCAGCCTATTTTGCAATATGGAGCCTTCTGAATATTTACTGTACCTGGAACAATGTTAGCCTTTGGATTTAACTCCCAGTGTAGAGATAGGCACAAATGAGATTCCATTAATGTACTTTAGATTGCTCCCATGTTGCTCGGTGAAATACAAAAAGCCGTAATAATTATGGCAGAAGAAAATGGCACCTACAGCAGTCTAAGTAACATTATATATTTAACATAACCCTAACCTTGACCAGGATTTGACAGGAAGTCACAGGTTTCCTGATTTTACAACCTCTGTATTTGCTTCTAGACTATACCAGGCAGAAGTCTCATAGTTTGGCTGCAAAAGAACCTGTATGGCAGAGAAAATGATGTCCTACAAAACAGTCTATTTATTCACTTGTTCCTCTGTTTCCAGATTTACATACTACCACAATTGTAGCAAACTCTCTGTAATTCACAATAATAAACAAAGTACAATAATCGAACAAATATATCTTATAAATACATTAAAACATCCCCAAGTAATATATGGAATCCAAACACCAAAGTCCCCCAGAAAAACTCTAATTTCCAGAAGCTGATAGCTACACCTTTAATGGGAGGCAATTCCAGAAAGTCAGCCACATCATGGAAAACACTTAGAAACTTTGTTCAAGCTCTGCCCCCAACACCTGAAAATGAGGAACAACTAGCTGCTTCTCCTGGCATGATCAAAATGTTAGACCAGTGGTGGCGAACCTATGGCACGCATGCCAGAGGCGGCACTCTAAACCCTCTCTATGCTATCACTCCAGCGCCACCTCCCCCCATGGCCCCCTCCTCACCAGCAGCCCCCCCGGAGGACAGTCGTCCCCGGGCGTGGCCTGCGCAGGTTAGTGCAGCCAAGGACATGGTAGCCAGGCAGCAGGGACAAGACTCCGCCCTTGCGCCCCAACACATGCAGATGATGCTGCGGGGCATGGGTGGAGGGTATGGCTGCCATGGTGCTGCAGGGCTGGTTGGGCGATCTGCGGTGAGCCATGGAGGCGGTAAGTGGCCCTGCGGGTGGGCGGGGCGGACAGGTGGCGGAGCGGGAGGAGCATGGGTGGGCCAGGCGGGGGACAGGGCGGTCTCTAAAAGGTTCGCCATCACTGTGTTAGACTAACTCAGGGTACCGATGCAGTCCTGCAGGAAATCTAGCACGGGAGGAGCATGGGCGGGCCGGGTGGTGGATAGGGCGGTCTCTAAAAGGTTCGCCATCACTGTGTTAGATTAACTCAGGGTACTGATGCAGTCCTGCAGGAAATCTAGCACCAAAAACTGCAAGTTAAAACCAGCAGAAAAAAATGGTTGTCCACTACCAATGAGAAGGGTCGGATGATACCTAGAGCCATGATGTTTTTAACTCAATCTTCTTTCTGGCTTCTTTCTCCTGTCCTTTGCACAAATTAATGGAGTCTTGGCACCATACATAATTGCTTAGATATCAAACACTTATTGTATGCTTATGTAACTGCTATCTCTGGCCTGAGAACTGCTAGCTTAATCCTCTCAATATCTTATGGTTTGCATGTTGGATGTCTTACTCTTACCAGCATTAGACAAGATAATGTAGTAATGAAAGCTTAGTTAGTGCTTCATGCAAAGCCAGCCAGTGGGATTTGCACACCATGATGTGTACCAGTGGTTTAGTCAATAAACTATTAAGCTAACCATGGTTTAGTGCAATTTATGAACTTGGGATTCTTGAACTCAAATAACATTTAAGAAGATTCTTCCCTTCCCAGCTTACCACAAAATATATCTTTAAGTGGCTTCCAGCTTTATTTCACATTAAACCATCTCCTAGAATTTTGCACCAAAGAATTGCCTTTCCTTGAGAGCATAACCTAGACAGGCAGGTGTTTCTGCCTTAATGATGCTTACCTGTGTCACCGAGTAGGCCAACGACAGAACAGTGGTGATACCCAGGACACGCTTGACACTGGATTTGCTCTCCAGGTGGCCTAATTGAACAAAGATCATACTCAGAGTCAACCCCTGAACAGCTTAGACTGCCTGCCTCTCACATCAATCTACTCAAGAGCTTTTTTGGCTTCTAAGTCCCAGAATCCAGAATTCATGTTAACTATTTACAGATTACAGAACTGCAAACCTGTAGGTTTACTCAAGTGTAATCCTGCTGGGTCACAACATGAGAATAACCACCCATTCTGGCTTGGCACTGTATGGAAACCAGTACATCATAGCTTAGTAAACAATCCATGGTTGAAAACCCCATAATGAATCAATCCCAATAATCCCCATGAACTTTTTATTATATGGACCAGGGCTTTTTTTCTCATAGAACGCCCAGAACTGAGTTCCGGCACCTTTTTTGGATGGAACCTTATAGGGTAGACAAGGTGGATTGTATGACATGCGTGAGTTCCGGCACCTTTTTTTTTTTTTAGAAAAAAAAGGACTGATATGGACTATGTTATACACTACAGTTGTGAGGGAAGGGATCACATAAGAAGGGAATGGGATACTGGCCCTTTTAAAAGCCTGTGGTAAGATGGGTGCCCAATAAGTTTTACAAACAAACAAATAAATAAATAGTGCAAGATTGCCCATTACTGAAGATCAGATGACCCCAGACCAATCCAGCAATACTGATCTTGCATATATTGAGCTTCCCCCTTACACTGCCTGATGCAAAGATGAGCTGCATAAGGAAAGGTATGAGCATTACACATCAACACATTTGAAAATTTAAAACTGTTACATCAACACACTTTGAAAGAGTGTCAGGGTTTGCTTCTTCAACTCATCCTTCATCCAGCTGCACTACGCTAGAAAACATTGATTTGTGCACACAAAGAAAATGCTGTGTACCCTGTCTATCTAACGCCGCATAAGTATTTCCTCAAGCTATTCTCAGGATGAAAAGGTAAGGATCAAAGCAGAGTAATTCAAATGCTTTGGGAGAGCAGCCCATGGGACAAGCAGTCTATTTGTATTCCACCTGCCTACAGAATCACAGGGAGCCACAAGCGAGGGACAGGATTAGTTCCTGCTATCTACAGGTAACATTACATGATGATGATAGCTTCTTGTACAAATTAGTCTTGCATACAGGTTTTATCAAACCATATGCATCATAAGTCTAACTATCACACCTTACTCTGAAATAGTCTTCCCCAATCTGGCAACCTTCATGATGTGCTGAACTACAATGCCCATCATCCCCAACACATACATCCCCAAGCTAGAAATGATAAACTTTATAGCCCAGCTCATTGGAGGGCATGAAATTAGCATCTGAAATACTTAGAGGCAGGTAAAATATTTCAAGTGTGAACTGTTTAAGATTTAAAACATTCTGCTTCGGTTTCAAAATGCCTCATTTCAGGGGAAATTCTATTATTTTAAGAACAAAATGGGCTGTTTCTCCTTTTGGCAAGTGTTTCATGCTCAGAACCAGTTCTCACTCTGTTCCAAGTGTAAAATGTATTTTGAACCTGAAATGATTTGAATTTGAAACATTTTGCACATCCTTAGAAATAATTCATTGTGGACCCAGTATTTTAATTACGGGGAACAAGTCTTAGATAATTTGAAAGCCCCGTGCCAGGATTTGGAGCTTCTTCAGCCTTATTTAAAAAATGATTTCTTTCAATGTTTATTTATTCCAGCTGTGACCCAACTTGTGAACTGCATAGTAACCCTCCTTACCGATTGGATATTGCCATCCCGGAGTGGATTCCTATGCTTGCTATTATTAGGTTTTAAGACTGGATGCAGGCTCAAATTTTGGTGAAAAGAAGACTGTTAAAACTAATTTTAAAAAGGTTTGCAATATATATGGAGACACTGTTGCAAGTGTGTGGGGGAGGGCAAGATGTTTCTCCTTTTAAGGAAATTTAAGACTACATATCCACTCTCCTCTTGCCTTATTCTCAGGTAGAGTAGGGCAGTGTTTCAAATTTCAGACCAGGAACTTGGAGGCCTGGTTCAAAGAATGAATTCACAGGGTGTTGGCCTTTTTGCTCTCTCTTAGTCTAACCCAGGGGTAGGCAACCTGGGCTCTTTTATGATTAGTGGACTTCAACTCCCAGAATTCCTGAGCCAGCCATGCTGAGGGGAAAGGGAGAGGTTTCCAAGCTGAGCCATGCTGGCTCAGGAATTCTGGGAGTTGAAGTCCACGAGTCATAAAAGAGCCAAGGTTGCCTACCCCTGGTCTAACCTATACCAGCGTGTTGTTGTAAATAGGAGGGGTGGTGGTATAGAAATGAAAAATTAAATTTGTGGTTTTATAAAAATATGTACTAAGCAGAAATATATTGGAGCAGAATCAATAACTTAACCAGCTGTTTTATTCAGTAAAAGAATAGCAATAGACTTATATACCACTTCATAGTTCTTTACAGCGCTCTCTAAGTAGTTTACAGAGTCAGCATATTGCCCCCGACAATCTGGGTCCTCATTTTACCAACCTCAGAAGGATGAAAGTCTGAGTCAACCTTGAGCCAATCAAGATCGAACCTCTGGCAGTGGGCAGAGTTAGCCTGCAATGCTGCATTCTAACCACTGGGCCACCATGGCTCATGATGTGGATGTCATCTACTACTGAGCAAATATTTATCTCTTCTTTGAATGCAGGGAATATTTATATTGAAATATTACTTCTTGTATAAATTGGCTACTGCTTAATTTTGCATTTTACTACCATCTAATATTTTAATTTACCAAAAAGGAAAAAATAAGAGTGCCTATAATACTAAGAAAGATTTCTTACCAAATGCAAGGCCCAAAATCACCATGCTCAACTCAATGGCCAGAAGGAAAAATCTTGTGATTTCCCACAGGATCTAGAGGTGACAACACAGATCAGAGAGACAAATTCAGCAACCAAAGAGAGGGTAAATGTGTTGCATTAAGTAATTTGAACATTAAAAGACACAATTTCTCCATTTTTAAATGCACACATTATACACATTTCTGCTTATTTGTACAGTCACTATGGTATACAAGAACTATTGGTAGGATCTCGCTTTGATATAATAACATTAATTCCTTTTTTGCATGTATGATATGTATAAGTGCTTCTTATCAAATCATTCAGGCAGCAATAAACTCCTAATTATTGCTCAGGAATTTTTGTTCCCATGGCCACAGCAATTTGAGAAAGTAAAAGTAGTTCTTACTAGGTTGCCTTTTTCCTCCAGTTTCAATTACTCAAGAGGATGAACTTCAGCTTTGCTCTTCATGTTTTGACACTTCCTTTCAAGTGTTTGTCTTATGAACCAATAGTCACAAGTTGCATTAACAACTCATTCTAAATTAGTTATTTGCTCACTTTGGGTGGATCCCTCCTACCCCCAATGTACCTTGACTATATTTTGACCACCCCTGAATCTCTCCAACAATATCAGGATGGTAATCTAACTGATGTTTCCAACTTTTTCTTTGAGAGGTATATGCCAGATGCACGAGCATATCTATATTATTGTATCTGATTATAAATAGTATTAAACTCAATACTGAAAAGGAAAGGGGAAGGGATCAAATCTACATCTACCTAAAGCTGATCTCACCTTGTCAGTGACTGTAGCAGCAGTAGAAGCGCTGACTGTCATGGAGACAACAGCTCGAGCAATCCCAACCACAGCAACTACGAACACCTGGAACAAAATAGCTAGGAATTAAGGAAGTGTGTTGTACAGAGCCAACACATACAGACTACCTTTCTAAAAAAAATAAGTTAAGACAGCAGAGAAAATAACAAGTGGATTCAGGAGCAGGGAAAAGCTATAGAAAAATAACTATCAGGTTACCTATACCATATGGATTTTTTTTCATTAAGGGTTACAGAAATGCTTCATAGCTGAGTTTTTTAAAACACTAAAAAGACACTTCATTATCTTATTCTCTTCTTTGATTTTAAACTTAATAATATTTCAAAGCACGCTGATGCTTGTTTATATTCTAACACTATAAATATTGTTATCAACAGTCACCGTCACAGGGTATCAAGGAACTTCTGACCTTGGATATACGCCACAAGTCATCTACTAAAAGATGGTGTCAACGCTGCAAATACTGTATATTCTTGCTTTGACAATATGCAGAACTGTCTGGTATTTTTATAGTTAAACCAGGCAACAGGGAAAAAGGGAGGAGAATAAGGATAGCCCGGGAAAAAGAAACCGGAAGTAAATCACATCTTCCAAGTTAATTGGAAGATGTGAACCATGACCCCAAAATAAAGGAGGGGAAAATGCTTAGAATGTATATGCGTAACGGAAAAGAAGCCAGATCTAAGCATTTCCACCATGCTGTACTGACGTCTCTGTAGCCTTAATAAATGCTTTTAGGAAAAAATATGCCTGAAAGTCCTTTTAAGTGTTTCGTTAATCAGACACATGACAGATGGCAAAAGAATCTAGAAATAGGAAAAATAAACAGTAAATAATTCCCAAGAAATTGGGCTGCTTTCAAACCTAACCTGACCTTTGCTAAAGCCTACCAGAGTCTCATTTTATTATTATTTATCATATGGCACATTCACATCACATTTCAGTAAAAACACGAGATAAAAATATAAAATCTATATAAATAAAAATGTAAATGTTCGTTTGTTCAAAATCTTAAATCTCCGAAGGTTCTTCACCGATTGCTTTGAAATTTTGACACAACGTTGCATTCGACTACGCGCATGTTTTTATATACCTATATTATATAGATGTCACACCTGTGACAGGTAAAAACATGCTTTTTTTGAAAAACAGCGCCATCTGTTGGACGTAAAAGCAACACACGCTTTTACCAGACTGAGCCACAGCAACGCGTGGCCGGGTACAGCTAGTATGAAATATAAAGTCTAAAATATTATAAATATATATCCAGATTATAGATATATTTTTTTACTTCATTTCTCACAGCCAGGAAATCAACAAAGTCTCCATTATAGGCTCTGTTTTGGCACTCTAATAATAATAATGATAAAGTTGGAAGGGACCTTGGAGGTTATCTAGTCCAACCCCCTGCTCAGGCAGGAAACCCTATACCATTTCGGACAAATGGCTGTCCAGTTTCTCCTTAAAAACTTCCAGTGTTGGCGCGTTCACCACTTCTGGAGGCAGGTTGTTCCACTGGTTAATTGTTCTAACTGTCAGGAAGTTTCTCCTTAGTTCTAGGTTGCTTCTCTCCTTGATTAGTTTCCATCCGTTGCTTCTTGTCCTGCCTTCAGGTACTTGACTCCCTCTTCTTTGTGGCAGCCCCTGAGATATTGGAACACTGCTATCATGTCCCCCCTTGTCCTTCTCTTCGTTAAACTCTGTCACTATATGTTGGATAGTTTTTCAGCCTTACAGTCAGTGATGGTATTCAATGATGGTATTTTGTCTCACTTACAGCAGGGTGTCTATAGTGCATTTATGACCAGAATCTCAGAAGTCTTGTGGCTCAACCAACAGATGCCCAGTATCTACAGTTATGAGGCTGGAGGAAGCCTCTTTAGGCCAGACCTAGGTATTTTAGAGTCTATGGGCCACATCTGGCCTGCAGTGTTGGTGGGGATCCTCCACAACAGTCCTAGTTTTTCATGTGGCTCCTTGGGACAATTAATTGTCTATCCCAGCTTTAGGCCCTTCAGGCTATGAAGATACACCTGAATATACACAAGGAATGCCCAGTCTCAGAAAATACTGTCAACTAAGGGAAATTCCTTGTTCAACCTCACTCACCAAAGCGTACCACTATATATGCTTTCTTAGTAAGACAGACAGATATAAAGAGAGACAGAGCGAGAATAATATGTTGGCATTTGTTGGTTACATCTGTACAATATTCAATACAATATTCAATATTCATAGACATGAAGCTTCCTCAATACATCTTATTGTCCTTTCTAATGCTGCACCAGTAAAATATATCTACTTCCTCTCAAAGTTAAAGCTCTTTAAATAAGCTCTTGCCCTTCCTGCCTTTCCAATCACTACTGAAATGTTACATTGCTAAGCAGTCTCACAGCCACTGCAGAATGCCATTCCTACAAGATAAAAACCTCCAATGTTATGCACCCATAAATGCTGCTAAGGCTAATAGTTACATCTGATTAACCTTAAACGTAGAAACCTGCATAAATGTCTTACTGTAATTTCTGCAGCCTGCAGTGCTATACATTTACCCTGCAGTCTTATCTTACATGTAATTCACCAGGGGAAATATTTATAAATTGTGTTTAGTGACTGCATCCCTGCAATTACAAGTTTGCTGCAAAACTTCTAAAGTCTCTTTGTGTTTGCCTCAATTTCCTGTTTTTCAATCTCTTATCACTCTGCTGTAGGTTACCTATCTTGCTTCCTTATGAGCCTCTTTAGTCTTTGTTCTGTCCCATAAAGTCATTTCAGTTCTGCAGCTAAGCTTCAGCTAAGGTCTAAATAAGATGCAATTCCAACTACCTTTCCCTATTCTGACCTGTGGCTTTTACTAGAGCTACACTTCCAAATTTTCCATTACACTCAGTTACCAAATATTACAAGTCAGAAAAACAGCAGCGCATACATTTTGCTGAGTAAACATGTAAATGGCAAAAATGCTCTACAAGAAGCCATCAAAGAGGGTATTTGGAAACCAAGGAGACAGACTGAATCTGTTTCACAAATACATTTAAAAAAGAGGAAGATATTCAGAAAGCCACTCTCAGAAAAAATGTATCAGCAGAAATTCCCAAAGATCAGGCAGAGAGGTATAAGGTCAATAAGTATAAGAAAACTGGAAGTGGGGCAGAACTGTAAGTGAAAGAACTGCAGAGGGAAGGGAATGACTGTTGCTTGGCTAGGTATTATCTGAGATCTCCCTTAATGAGTCCCACTATTTCTCCTAAATGGGCTCTACAGGATCAGAAGCCATTTTGGGGGGATTAGGACAAGCCTCTTAAGCCATTGCCTCTTCTAAGAAAGCCTACATGTATGCAATTTTGTCCAATTTTCCTGGGTGAACAGAATTTTTCACACCATGTTCAGAGATTGTGATCTCTGAGTTCCCTCTAACTGATTAACTTTTCCATGGAGAACAAAGCACAGTAAGAAAATCCTGTAGTGTTTCCAGGAAGACAGCTCCTAATTTATTCCTTGCTCTTCTATTTTAAGTGGAATTTTATACTATCAAGGTTTTGCATGTTCTATATTGGAACATGTGCCATACCTAGCAGGCATGACAATAGCTATTTTACCTGAGTAAAATAGCCTCTCTCCTGTTAATTCCAGGCTTCTGTGACTGTTGCCCCTACAGATTGTTTCACCTATCCATTGGCAGAATCATGCCTTCTTCCCCATTTTGCCTAAGACTAATATAATATCATCCTCTTTCTGCAACAGGCAAGCAAATCCCTTCTTTATTTTCTGAAGAAGAAATTCTTATGCAAAAGTGGAAAAGAAACTGCAAAACAGAAGCTTAGGGAATGGGAAGAGAGAATATCACAAATGCCAAATAATTGAAGCGTTATCCCAACACACACACACACACAGAGAGAGAGAGAGAGAGGCACAGAAAGAGATTCACAAACATATATATCACACAAAAAGTAGAATCTTTCAAAATTGACCAGTTTTCACTAAGAAGAATAATTAGAAGCTGTAAGGCAAGGGCAAGGAAATGTTTTTTTTTCTCATTTAAATTCCTCTCTAATCTCCTTGCAACTGTTAACAAGAAATAGCCTTAAAAATGTGGCAATATTGAAATTGTGCAACTAAAGGAACATCAGAAAACATGCACTTATCAATTCCCTCTCAGAGCCTTCAACTCATTCAGTTAGTGGTAAGCAACCATGACACTGATGGGCAGGGTTTACGACGTGTCTCTTGGTCTAGGTCAGAGATAGGCAACGGAGGTATTCCACATGTTCCTGACCTATAATTCTTTCCTACCAGCCACACTAGTTGGCATTGCCACAGATCAACCAGCTGAAGGATGGAGGGAGGGATATTAAGAGACAGAAAAGAAAAATAGAGATGTCACACTTACTTATATTTTAAAATACATCTTAATATCTGGAGTTATTTAAAGGGAGAACAATTTTGCCAGGAGAAAGTAAGCCAAAGAGAAAAAGAGGCTGTTCTCTTTTGTCTTCTTGAACAATGGACATTTCGTCGACTAACAAATGCCAGGCCAACGGCATTTGGGCAGAGCATAAGTCAGATAATGTGTTACCAAGTTCAGTTGCAAAATGTGACTTCCCATGTCAAATCAAGTTAACAACTAAAGTAGCAGCAATGAGGCTGTCTACTCTTTTGGAGATTAGCTGCTCTTCTTTAAAAGATCAGATATTCCAGAAACACAAAAGACACAGAAGCAGCATAAAGAAAGATCAAGCAGGTCAATGATCAGATTAGGTCAGAAGAATGTCTCATTCCCAAATAAAAAATACACCCTACGTAGAGAAAGAGTTAATGCTGACAGTTGCCAAACACTTTACCAACTCCTGAGCCTTTTCACTAATTTGAAAGGAGCCAAGTGAATATATATACATATCCCCCAGGTTCTTTGAAAATAAAATTTGTACTTACCAGTATGTAGAATGTGGTAAAAATGGGACTGGAAGTGGCATGGATTTTGGCCCTGGCAGAAGGCAGCTTCCAGAGGAGAAATGCAAAGAAAAGTACATTGGGAACCAATAGCAGAAGGTCCCAGTAACGAACTCTAAAAACAAGACAAAGATACCTTTTTCAAATAGTGCTGTGTCCCTTCAGGCGATACAGAGAACCTTCTTCAGAAGAAGAAACAGAAACCATCAATAACAGCATCTCACCTGGATGTGCCAATGTCCTCATACAACAGCACCAAGCATTTGTGTGGCACAGTACTATTGGTAGCATTTAAAAACAAAGGTGTTGTCAGAATGTCCGTTGTTGTCACTGCCGTGGGAGCAGACGAAGAAGTGGCATTATCATCCGCAGATAATGGTACTGATGTCACCAATGCTGACATTCTGCCACCGTTCTGGAGAGAGGGAGCCAAAAGGACATTTTCATCAGATAAAATAAAATCTCAAACAATCCTACATGGGGGGGGGGGTTTGTTTTAAAAAATACATAGAAGTTTATCCTCTATTAATCCAAACATTTATCAACTTTTCTCAATCATGTACTCCTTATGTGTTTTGACTGTGTTAGCTAGTAAATCAGGAGAGTTAGACTAACACATCTGACAAGCAAAAGACTAGGGAAAGCTATGGGCACAAGACCAGGTGACACTGGAACAGGAAGCTTATGCCCTTCCCAGATTACTGTAATTTGGTCCTCATCATATTATTTTTAAAGACTGCTCAGAAGCTGCAAGTGGTACAGAATGAAGCTGTCAGCGTGCTGGCACATGGACCTGCTACAGCCATGGGAACCTTTTGTTACAGGTGTGACACTGGCTTTTAACAAGTTACAGTGTACAAATCAAAATAGTGGTTTTAATCTTGAAAGTTCCGTGTGGCTTGCTTCCTAAATACTTTCAGGATTGTTATTCTAGGTAGTACCAAGTCCACGGGTAGAACTGCACCAGAAAGTAAGCTCTCGACAACTGGGTATCCCAAAATGCAACAGTTAGGATCAGTTGGGATTCTCCAGATGTTTATTCTCTGTAGTGGCCACCATTTGATGGTCAGCCTTCTTCCAGAGGTCAAACTGGTACCAATTCTGGTCTCCTTTCAAAAACCCATCAAAACAGAAATATTGGACCTTTGTAAGATGATATTTCTGAAGACCTGGATGGTGTCATTGGCTCGTTGCAACAATTACTGCAATTTGTTTGAATTTCCTATGTTGTAATTGTGTTACTTATTTTGTTGTTGTTGTTGTACACTACACATCACAAATTCAATGTTACACAAATGAAATAAATAAATCAAACCTAGTCTCTATATTACCAAAGTAACTATCACCTTGGATTCCTAAAATTCAGGAAATAGAATCTATTAGTTTCTAGCCACACTNAACCCCCCCCCCCCCGCTTGTCCGCTATTTTTTGGAAGCAGACCTGGCAACCCTAGAGAGGCACAGAAAGAGATTCACAAACATATATATCACACAAAAAGTAGAATCTTTCAAAATTGACCAGTTTTCACTAAGAAGAATAATTAGAAGCTGTAAGGCAAGGGCAAGGAAATGTTTTTTTCTCATTTAAATTCCTCTCTAATCTCCTTGCAACTGTTAACAAGAAATAGCCTTAAAAATGTGAAAATATTGAAATTGTGCAACTAAAGGAACATCAGAAAACATGCACTTATCAATTCCCTCTCAGAGCCTTCAACTCATTCAGTTAGTGGTAAGCAACCATGACACTGATGGGCAGGGTTTATGACGTGACTCTTGGTCTAGGTCAGAGATAGGCAACGGAGGTATTCCACATGTTCCTGACCTATAATTCTTTCCTACCAGCCACACTAGTTGGCATTGCCACAGATCAACCAGCTGAAGGATGGAGGGAGGGATATCAAGAGACAGAAAACAAAAATAGAGATGTCACACTTACTTATATTTTAAAATACATCTTAATATCTGGAGTTATTTAAAGGGAGAACAATTTTGCCAGGAGAAAGTAAGCCAAAGAGAAAAAGAGGCTGTTCTCTTTTGTCTTCTTGAACAATGGACATTTCATCGACTAACACAGGGCTTTTCAACCAGTGGTACGGGTACCACCTGTGGTACATGGGCATCTGGCAGGTGGTACGCGGCCATCCTAGAAAAGGGGTAGTGGGGGAGGGGAATGAGCTGAACCGGTGGCAGCACCGCACAAGCCTGAGCGAGAGATGGCTGGAGCTGGAGGGCTGTCGGGGCTCAGCGGAAGCCCCAGGATCAGTGCCGCTTTCCAGCTGATCGACGCTTCTTCGGGGCTGTCAGGGCTCAGTGGAAGCGACAGGATCAGTGCCAGGATCCAGCTGGAGCTCAGCGCTGATCCTGGTACTTCTGCTGAGCCCAGGAGAAGCGCCGATCAGCTGGAATGTTGCAGCCTCTCCAGGGTCTTGTGATTTACATTCAGATGCTTGGCAACTGATTCATATTTATGATGGTCACAGTGTCCCAGGGTCATGTGAAGTGACCAAAACCTGCTGCAACCACCCAGCAGATGGGGGGAATAAAAACCAAACACCCCCCCACTCCACCCCCGCTGCCAATCCTCAGCAGAAATGCTCACAACAATGAAAACCTCGGACAGGAGGAAGAGCGCGGCCGGGCGGGCAGGCAGGTGTCTTGCTTGGCTGTGGCTTGGGGGGCACTTTTTTCAGTGCCATTGTAACTTCAAACAGTCACTAAGCGAACTGTTGTAAGTCGAGGACTACCTGTACTTTATCACTTTTTCCCTTTTTTGGTCATCAGGTTTTTGACACCTTGCTGGTGGTAGTCGGATGTTGCCATATCCTAAAAGTGGTACAATGGGTGAAAAGGTTGAAAAGCCCTGGACTAACAAATGCCAGGCCAATGGCATTTGGGCAGAGCATAAGTCAGATAAGTTGCAAGTTCAGTTGCAAAATGTGGTTTCCCATGTCAAATCAAGTTAACAACTAAAGTAGCAGCAATGAGGCTGTCTACTCTTTTGGAGATTAGCTGCTCTTCTTTAAAAGATCAGATATTCCAGAAACACAAAAGACACAGAAGCAGCCTAGGGGAAAATTTTTAGTGGGGGTTTTAAAATAATTTTAAATTACTTAGACCAATTATTAATATTTGTCTTTTAATCAAGTTTTAATTTGTAGCTTTGGTATTTTGTATTTTTATCTGGTTGTTAGCCGCCCTGAGTCCGCAAGGAGAAGGGCGGGATATAAATATAAACAATAAATAAATAAAGAAAGAAAGAAAGAAAGAAAGAAAGATCAAGCAGGTCAATGATCAGATTAGGTCAGAAGAATGTTTCATTCCCAAATAAAAAATACACCCTACGTAGAGAAAGAGTTAATGCTGACAGTTGCCAAACACTTTACCAACTCCTGAGCCTTTTCACTAATTTGAAAGGAGCCAAGTGAATATATATATACATATCCCCCAGGTTCTTTGAAAATAAAATTTGTACTTACCAGTATGTAGAATGTGGTAAAAATGGGACTGGAAGTGGCATGGATTTTGGCCCTGGCAGAAGGCAGCTTCCAGAGGAGAAATGCAAAGAAAAGTACATTGGGAACCAATAGCAGAAGGTCCCAGTAACGAACTCTAAAAACAAGACAAAGATACCTTTTTCAAATAGTGCTGTGTCCTTTCAGGCGATACAGAGAACCTTCTTCAGAAGAAGAAACAGAAACCATCAATAACAGCATCTCACCTGGATGTGCCAATGTCCTCATACAACAGCACCAAGCATTTGTGTGGCACAGTACTATTGGTAGCATTTAAAAACAAAGGTGTTGTCAGAATGTCCGTTGTTGTCACTGCCGTGGGAGCAGACGAAGAAGTGGCATTATCATCCGCAGATAATGGTACTGATGTCACCAATGCTGACATTCTGCCACCGTTCTGGAGAGAGGGAGCCAAAAGGACATTTTCATCAGATAAAATAAAATCTCAAACAATCCTACATGGGGGGGGGGGGTTGTTTTAAAAAATACATAGAAGTTTATCCTCTATTAATCCAAACATTTATCAACTTTTCTCAATCATGTACTCCTTATGTGTTTTGACTGTGTTAGCTAGTAAATCAGGAGAGTTAGACTAACACATCTGACAAGCAAAAGACTAGGGAAAGCTATGGGCACAAGACCAGGTGACACTGGAACAGGAAGCTTATGCCCTTCCCAGATTACTGTAATTTGGTCCTCATCATATTATTTTTAAAGACTGCTCAGAAGCTGCAAGTGGTACAGAATGAAACTGTCAGCGTGCTGGCACATGGACCTGCTACAGCCATGGGAACCTTTTGTTACAGATGTGACACTGGCTTTCAACAAGTTACAGTGTACAATTCAAAATAGTGGTTTTAATCTTGAAAGTTCCGCGTGGCTTGCTTCCTAAATACTTTCAGGATTGTTATTCCAGGTAGTACCAAGTCCACGGGTAGAACTGCACCAGAAAGTAAGCTCTCGACAACTGGGTATCCCAAAATGCAAGAGTTAGGATCAGTTGGGATTCTCCAGATGTTTATTCTCTGTAGTGGCCACCATTTGATGGTCAGCCTTCTTCCAGAGGTCAAGCTGGTACCAATTCTGGTCTCCTTTCAAAAACCCATCAAAACAGAAATATTGGACCTTTGTAAGATGATATTTCTGAAGACCTGGATGGTGTCATTGGCTCGTTGCAACGATTACTGCAATTTGTTTGAATTTCCTATGTTGTAATTGTGTTACTTATTTTGTTGTTGTTGTTGTACACTACACATCACAAATTCAATGTTACACAAATGAAATAAATAAATCAAACCTAGTCTCTATATTACCAAAGTAACTATCACCTTGGATTCCTAAAATTCAGGAAATAGAATCTATTAGTTTCTAGCCACACT